ATTTAGGCATAGTCGTTACGCGGAACTTCAAACCAAGCACCCAGTGTCGTGAGACGGCAAATAACTGTTTCGTCTATGCGCGACCATGACGTGCAGAAAACCCGAGGTGCTTGTTCCACTACACAGACGCATCGTCCGTCCGCATCTGGAATATTGTGTGCAGGCTTCGGCTCCGTTTTTCCGAAAGGACACTGATACCTTAAAGAGGATTCAACGTCTAGTCACGAGAATGATAGCTAGACAACGGGGGAAAAGATATGAACTGCGGCTCAGAGATTTAACGCTGTTCTCTCTCACACGGAGGCGGATGAGAGGAGACCTAATTGAGACATGTAAGATTGTCAAGGTTATATTAAGCCTTAGGTTTGGCGGTCTGTTCTCCTGGGTTCCGCATAGAGGCACACGGAGACATAACCTATGTCTACAACGAAACCACTAGGCTGCAACTGAGAGCAACGGTTTTCACTAACAGGGTAATTCCGTTGTGAAACCGGTTGCCGTTGGCAGTGGTAAGCTGCAGTGGTGCAGTAGTGTAGATGCTTTTATAAGGCACTAGATGAGTGTTAGATAGCGGTTTTTCCGTGGTGGTGGCGCAGTGGTTTAGTCGCTGTCCGAGGTTCGAGTCCCACCACCGCCACCCGACTTTGGTGGTAGATAACTCTGCTGTCGTCCGGTTCAATGTCACGCCTGACCTATCGGGACCTTGTGTGGTTCGCTATTCCAAATCCCGGGGCATAGGTTGCCGGTTTCCACCACTGAACAGCAGGTCTTCGTGACTACGGGGTTCGTTCCGTCTGCTGTTCATCACACACTGGTGTGTAATAAAAAAGGTACCATCTATAACCTAACCACAAAGGATGATACTGCATCACGATATTCTGCTTTTCAGTAGAATAGGCCGACCGAGGGTAGGAGGCGGAGTTGTATTCTTTTCATCTGACCATAATGAGCAGAGAGAGGGCATAAAAGTTGCGACCCCGAACGAAAGGGTGGGAAAGTAACAGTCAAAGTTGGCAATGGAGGGACCACTCTGGTTGGGTTATATCGCAGCCCTAGTGCAGAAACATGGGAAGACGATCAGCTACTTGCCTTCCTAAATGTAGTCACGGGAGGGTTGCAAACTCCTGATTGTGGGAGACTTCAACGCGTCGGAGGTGGACTGAGTCATATAGGTAGCTCCCAGAAACTCTTTCGAGACACAGCACGGAGATGGGACAACCCGATGGCGTGATCGTCAAGTCCCATCAATATTGGATCTGCTAATAACTAGGGTACTCAACTATATTCTCCGCTTGGAAATAGAAGAACCCATAGGGAAGAGTGACAATGGAGTACTGCGCCAGACAAATATCACAGATCCTTCTGGTCTGTCAACCAGGCCGCACTGATTGAATCGAGTTGCCGGTGCAACTGGATGGTAGAAGAGGGAGAGTAATATATTGAGCGATAATGTCGGATTAAGAACAACATATTGGCACTCACAGACCAAGTTGCACCACTCAAGCAGGTCAGACGCAGGGGTTCTTCTCCATGATGGAGTAGCAGGGTGAGCCAGAAAAAATGACCTTGGCGGCGATATCAGTGCACCGAAACATATTAAGACTTCCTTCGCTATAAAATGGCGAGGAAAACAGCGTTCAGGGTGCAAAACGAATGTCGACGCAGGTATGAGAAGAGGTTGGCCCTACATGCGAAAACCAACCCCAAAACCTTCAATTACATGCAGTCAGACTGTACTAAGGGAGGCTGTAGGACGTGTTAGAGATAGCGATGGAGTGCCGTCAGTAACCAACCATGAACAGGCAAACACCGTGTCACTTCTATCAGGCTATTTATAGAAGAGATCTAGGTGCCCCAGGTAGGTCCATTGAAGATTGCACGCAGCTGGCAATGCCAGGGGTGTACATAAAACCTTAGAACGTAGAAGAGCTTCTACAGAGATTTTTGGCATGTAAGACCGCGGGTCCAAATCGACTGCATTTAGCGGTGTTGAAACCACTGGTGGGCGCTCTTGCGGAGCCGCTTGCACGACTGTTCAATGAGTCACTGGAGAAAGAACTACTCCCTAGTGATTGGTGGGCGCCAACTGTCACTCCAATCTACAAAGGGGAAAATAGGGAGGACTGCGCAAACTACAGGCCCGTCAATTTGGCTTCGGTGGTATTAAAACCCATGGAGCGAATCATACGGGATAGAATAGTCAGACACTTGGAAGCAGCCAAGTTGTTGACCGCACACCAGCACGGCTTCATGAGGAGACGCTTGTGCCTCACCAACCTGTTGCGTTCCCTTGACGAGGCATAGGATTGACCGGGGAGAAAGAGTGGAAGTCTGCTACCCAGACTTTCAGAAGGCCTTTGACTCTGCTAACCATAGGTTGATGATTAGAAAGCTTCCACGGTTTGGGCTGACTTCAAAAGTGGAGTCCTGGTCAATCATGGCCAGTTGTGATGTTCCTTGACATTGACCACGGATCCCTTATGGGTTCACTCCATCACAAAGGAATACTGTAGAGGTACATGAACATACCCTATTCGCATACATCTGGTTGCGTAAGGGTCTACGGTGATCCGAGAAGGCCGTCCGAAACCAGGAACGGTGTTCATCAAGACAAGCCTATTTTGCCGTTCCCGTTCAATTTCTTCGTAGACGAAATACTACAGATTGCACCAAGTTGTTTCCACAGTGTTGGTATTAGATGGGTAACTGGCGGAGAGCTATACTATTTGGAATATGCTGACAACATCGTTTGATCGAGTTTGTGAAGTTGCGCATAGCGTACTTGACAGACTATCAAGTTCTGTAACTCCTTTCGACATGCGCTCTGCACCTTTGAAGTGCAAAGTGATGCTACTAGACTGGTTGTCGCCGAACCCTGTTCTGAAACTGGCTGCTCAGAAATTTGCGAAAGTTAAATGCCTCTCGTACTTTGGTAGCTGCGTGATCAGCGACAGCACCGCATCAAAGGAGACAACCACCCGCATTTCCAAAATTCGGACGACGTACGCGACGAGGAGTTTTACTCAATTTGAAAAGCCGTGTATACTGCCCCACTGTACGATCAGTTTTGCGCCACGGTAGTGAGACCTTGAAACGCCGGGTAGAAGATCCATCCTTCAGCGATTTTCGGCAGTCGATGCTTACGTAGTCTGGTCCAGTGGGATGGAGCAAACGGGTTGGTTACCTAGGCTTCGCTATCGTGGGCAATGAGGTCCTACTCCTATCTAATACATGACCGTCTTAACTAAATCGTCTGTATTCATCCAACGCAGAGCTATATCTTGGATTTGTGTGGGAAGCAAAATAATGCCTTTCAAGCATTGGAATCGAATTAGGAACAGTGAATCAACGGCTCCAACAAACAAAACAGAGTCCCGTCCGGGATTTGAAATCCAGACCCATTGCATGGAAAGCGTGTGCGTTACCAGTGTGGCAACCAGCTGACACTATGGCTGAATCCAATTGCCAGTTCATGTTTGTTCAGGTGTCCTCTCCAGTGATACTCGGTCAGTTCATTTGGCCCAACAAGAACGAAGGGAGACAGATGACAATCTGTTAACTCCAATCGAAAGCCTTTCAACAAGTCATCTTCGAAATCCTCAGTATGGTCGGGGATGGGTGCTTGGGGTTGTGGTTGGTCACCCTTCTCTTGCACCGCACGAAATGCTCCCATTCGACCAGGCGTCTCAAGTAGCCTCTGCTGAGGAAGCCCTACTCATTGCCTTCTCGTGTTGGAGGTGTTTTCCCACCAAAGTGAGAGGGCAAATAGCCGACATCCGGGGCTATAACTGGGTTAGTAAACCACTGGTAGTTCATCTACGGGAGTTGGCTATGAACCCTGATTGCAAACCAACCAAGTGGAGGCGTACGAACCACACCCACACCTTTTCGGTTGTGGCAGTGTTCACCGGCTCGATTGGGCATTGAGGTGTATTGGGCACCTTGGACGTCTAACCCCGTCCAAATGGCGTATGATCCGATGAACTGGACACCAGCCCTCAATCGATTGCGGTTTTCGCACACCGCCCACTGTACGGTCAATTCTGCGTTAAGGCAGTGAGATCTTAAATTTGGGGATAAAAGATCCGACGTTTTGACAGTCGATGTCTGCGTTGTCAGATCCAATGGGATGGAACGTGGGGGTTAGTAACCGAAATGTAAGTTGTCGGATGTTTAAGAGTTTATTAGGTATAAACCTGCTGGCAAACCGAATTCAGATTAGACTTCGCTGGCTAGGGCACGTATTGCGTGTCGTCTACCCAACCGCGCTTCATTCGCTGCAGCTAATCCGGGCTGGAGAATACCATATAAAGGTCAACAGGTGGCGTGAAGACGAGGCATGAAAAAATGCACAGAGCCATTAGGTAGAGTAGCTGTCTCTCGCCTTCCAGGTTGGTGTTCGAAATACTTTACAACTGGTTGGTTGTAGACATTGAAGGATGTGGCATCGAACCGACAGCAGTGCCGTTCTTGTTGTCGTTTCTTATTAGGTTGGAATGCTTGAGGCGGTATGTATGCAGAGTTCGATTGCGTACCCTGTGTGTTGTCCATAGAGATTCATCTTCTTTCCCCTCCATTAAAATAGGTCCAATCCTTGTCCACTTTAAATTTTACCACCAACCTTGTATGCATTGCGAGTTTGGCAGCGATCAGTGAAGTTCGCCTCAGTATTTCGCTGTACGATGATGATGATGGTGATTGGGAACGCATCGAACTGGAATTCGCTAGCTCATTAAATTCAGCTCAATAGGCTCCGTTGGTTAGGACACGTGCTGAATGTCTAACGGCCACCTACCACAGCTCACCTTATTTGCAGTGGCTACTCCAGACAGGAGAAAACCACATTTAGGTCAACAGATGACGAGACGAGACATGAAGAAATACACAGAGCCATTAGGTAGGGTTTCCTGCTTGACTCCGTAACCGGATGGTTGGAGACGCTGAAAGTCACGGCAGTGAACCGACATTAGTAGCGGTTTTCACTTCTTGCCGCATCAGAATGCTTTAAATGGTGTATATACACACTTGTACTGTGTAGTCTGTGTTGACAATTCATCATGGCTACACTGCCCTTTGACGCAGGATGACAGCTTGCGTTCTTACTGAATTTGCAGTTACTTGTGATATCATTTATCCCATTCCTCTACTCACAAGTAAATGAGTTGAATGCGAAGAAATCAGAAAGTGTAACCCTTTTACGAAAGGTGTTCGCACAAATTGAATTGTTGACAGCCAGTATACTACCACCTTAGACATTCGACGCCCATCACGTACGAAATACAAGCACAGCTGACTTTGAGGTAAGCTTCTGTTCTATAGGGATGATGACAATCCTGACGGCGACCAGATATATCCTAACCGGGTATCATATTTAGCTTACGCGGTCGTCCTCTGGAGCAATTGGTCGAACGCCATTCAGTTTCAGTTTGGAATTCCATTAACCATGCACTTTCGTGCTGATTGGGACATGTGCTGCGCATGTCATCAAAAAGATTGCCGAGACAGGTAGCGGTTGGAAAAAAATGAAGGTCGGTCAAGCGAGGACTTGGCATGACGGTGTGAAAACCCTACTCAGAAGACTAGATCACATAAGTCTCGTTCGGTTCCCTGCCTGGGGACCCCGAGATCATGGTCACCGATGGTTAGAGACACTGAGCAATATGGCTGGATGTCGCAAACAATGACGCTCATGCATCTACTCAATATTCTTGCAACCTCAGTTTATATGAATTCTTCCCCTTATTCTTTCCGTTGAATCTGTTCTTAACATTCCAATCTTCATTCTGCTGTCTTATCCAAATGGGCGGCCAAAAGACAGCAACCAAAGCCGACGCACGAAAGTGCACGGGTTGTAAAAGTCGTACTGGACTAATATTTACCCCATTGGTTTATTTCACCGTCATGTGTGTATCTTCCTCGAGAAAGTTATCTGATTGTTACAAAGAAGCCGAGTAGCTTGCGGTTTTATTCCAAATAATAGCTTATCATTTTCACAAAGGTGCTCCCCTGAAAGTACTCCTAATTCTGTTAAACTCTGTTTACAAATGATTGAGTTGAGATGCAGCGAGAACAAATCGTGCAGTGTTGCCATACTGGCTTCTGATGACTGTTTTATAAACAGCAGTGTTGATTGTTGATGTGGCTTCCCTTTCCAAAAGTATTGTTAGTTTTGTATATCACAATATTGTTATGGATTATCACGCATGGTGTTTTACGGGACTTGCCCTTTTCGCACGGGTCGTAGCTCAGATGCAACTCACGATATTACCCGGTGTTACTCAAAGTCCGAAGTAGCACAACAATTTGGTTGATATCTTTTTTAGGTGTGTATCTGCTGGTCTTGGGTTTTCAGAATCTGCCACCGTAAGGAATTCCTAATCTCATGCTAGTAGCAGGATACTGATTTTTTCCTGCTGATAAATGTGTATTCTGTTGGGTTTGTTTGTATGTATACCACCCTTTTGTTGTTTCATTCATTTCCTCATACACAAACAAAATTCTGTAAAATTATGCTATTACGATTCTGGTTTGATGGTTCAATTCTTCACTCGTTCGAATGTAAAAATCAAACAAACAAAAAACCGATAACGTGTCTCTCAGGAGACGATGTCATACAATATACTAACCCTATCCGATTTCCATATCCCTTTTTAGCAGCCGCGACTTGCACCCCTAATTCCAAGCACCTCACACGTCTTCTTCAGCTTGTTTCCCGAATAGCATGCGTGCACGGCGATGAGCTGACTACAACCTGTCTTTCGAGCGATGCGGTTCAACTGTTTGTCGCACAACTCGCAAATAAGAAGCATGCCTGTTTCCCTACCGCGTCTGAGCTGATGTCTGAAGTACTTCAAAAGGTCACTGAATTCTCGTCCGACCAGGATGAACATAGTGCAAATCCACAGAGTCATGAACCCATGGAAACGGATCAGGAGGACGCCTGTAGCTCCCCTGCTTCTCCGAGAATCTTATTCCGTTGTTTGATTAAACCACCACATCCGGTCGATTTCATCGTTCATCATTCTGTCTCCAAACCTTGTCAGGTACCTGTACTCGTTTGGGAATATCTTGTACTTATATAAGCCTTGCTGGATGCCCTCCACAAAGTACTGAGTTATTAGGTTTACCATATAGATACACTAGGAAAATAAAATAGCTCTTTCCCCAACTATAGCTTATTTTTGGAACCTTTCCCACCAATTGGATTTAAAATACTTGGTTGCTGTGAAAATGTGACTGCACAGCCAGTCCAAAATGCTTTGAATCGTTTGGCGGTCGAAGTATCCAGGTATGATATGTACTTTGCACCATCAAAGTGCAAAGTGCTTGTTCAAGACTGGCAGCAGCATGTGCCTGCACTCATCCTCTATGGTGATCAGCTGGAAATGGTTTAGAGTCTCAAGCACTTCGACAGCATGATCGTTTCTGGTGGTGTTGGAGAGGAGATTGCATCACGAATAGCGAAAGCTAGAGCAGCAGTCGCCAACCTGCGACACCTGTGGCGCCGCCATGACATCCGACTGTCAATTAAGAGAAAGGTGTACACAGCCGCGGTTCGTAGTGTTCTACTTTGCGGTTGCGAGACCTGGCCTCTCCGAGCGGAGGATGCTAATCGACCTTCTGTACTCGACCACCGATGTCTCCGAAGCATTGCTCGTGTCTGGTGGGAACATTGGGTGAGTAGTGACGAGGTCCGTTGTCGTGTGTTGGGTGTGTATAGTCGTTCTCTAATAGAAGTAATCGCTCTTCATTGCTTCTGATGGCTTGGTTATGTGTTGTGCAAGCTTGATCATAGGGTACCTTTCCGTGCTCCCTTTCACACGTGTGGGCAATGCTGGAAAAAGCGGCGCGGCGGTCAGACCATGACACAGCGTAGAGGTATGA